GATCGGATAGATAGATAGATAGATAGATAGATAGATAGATAGACGGGTAGATAGGTAGTTGGTTAGACAGATCGACTTATCGACACAGAGGCACACTTGCACACGGCACATGAACAGACGAAAGGTTAAAAGGATTTACAGATAGATAGGGAGGTAGAAAGATAAAAAGGTAGATAGGTAGGTAAATAGACAGGAAGGTAGACAGATAGATCGATAGGGTAGATCAATAGATCGATGGGTCGATAGACCCATCGACCGACCGAAAGATGAGTTAGAGGTATGTACGTACATATACGTACGTATGCATGCATGAAGGTATGTATGTATGTGGTTTTTTTTGAAGAAATGGATTTATGTCTATTTCTTTGCAATTGTGTCGCACAGTCTTGACTGAAGAGAAGCAACTGTTCTTGATTATGGAACACCCGAAGCGTGCAAAGGAGGCGAGAACACACACTCACACACACACACACACAGCAAACAGGGCAAGGAATCAGGATACAGTCCCGGTCCCGCGATCCAATGCTCCAGAGTGGCGGGAAGTTTCGATTCTCCTTCGACTCCGGAACGTGTTGTGGGCAGATTGACGTTGTTTCCGTCAAATGCCGAAAATGCCTTGAGCCTCGAGTCTTTTGCACTTGACACGAATCATTGGTGACGGGGGACGAAAAACGAAGTCTGTTGAAAGCCCAGCTGAACCCAAGCCTTGAGCTGAGCACCACTTGCTGTTCGCACCAGGTGCATGCATCGCCAGGAACAGGCGTCGGTCGAGTTATCGTCACAGGCCCGAAGGGACCAATGTATACGAGCGCGGTGCTCCCTCCCCTCCAACGTTCCTTTCCAGTTATGATGTATGGAAGCATGGGATCAGTCTGGCTCCCTAGGGTTCTTCTCCACGCAGGCCTGGACTCCAATGTGGCGGAGGAACTCGAAAGCTTCTATTCGCAACTCGGTGTCTATGTTCTTGGGGCTTCATTTAGGGTTTGAGGGTTTGAAAGGTAGCCAAACCCCAAACCGCCTAAACCTGATAGCCCGGGCCCTCTTGGGATGTTGAAGCTCGGTGGCCGGAGTTGGGTCCGAGGAGTCATTTTTACAGCTCCTCGTTTTTTTCTGGTGCTAGGCTCCAGCTCTTCTCACCAGCTACCCTGTGAGCTTTTTTTCAAGCGGGCACCGAGGCTCGCCGGGGGCGCCATAAGCTTGACTCTGGGCTGAAGAGCTGTCGGGGTCCAGAAGTTTCAGTGAAAGCTGTCCGGAAAGCATCAGCCTTCCCGACGAGTGATCAGCATATTCTGAAGTGTGTAGGGTTTGCAACTCGTGGCACACAGCATCTTTCGAGATTCTACTCGGTTCCTGCGTGCTGTAGTGTCGATCTGGGGCCTTGCGGAGAGAGAGAGAGAGAGAGAGAGAGAGAGAAGGAAGGCAGTGATTGGCAGGGTGCGGGAGCAGTTCTCTTCGAACACTGAGGAAGGCGATAGTCGAAGAGATCACCGAGGGTGGCTTCATCGTAGATGAGGTACTCAAGCAGCGCTCTTGTTGTACTGCTGCCAGCCGTGATGCTGCAGTTGCTCAAAGAGTTGTTGGATCTTCGGAAGACGCGAACTTAACGCTCTAAGTCAGGGACTGATCAGAAGTCTCGACAGATTCCCAGTGATTTGTCGGCACTCACAAGATCCTCCAGACTTCTCTGCAGGACTCGATCCAGACGTCGAAAATCGAGCACTCCGATCTCAAAGAGGCAATTAGCTCGTGCTCTCAAGTGGTAGTGGTGCAGGGGTCTGAGCTTTCGTTGTATCGGCCGTACGCCTGTGGTGAACCAGGAAGCTTCTGGAATCCTTCCTCATTTATTCTATTCCTTGGGGTCCTTCTTATAGTTTTCGTATAACTTCTACACTGGTCCTCCGACTTGTCCGCACCTGCAAATCCCAGCCACGCTTCTCAGATACTCATGATTTGCAGACCCAGCCCGTCGCTGCGCCCCTTCTCATAGCATCTTCTGCATCTTTGGCTTCACATCACGCCAAGCCTGCAAAGCTCAAGGCCTTTCAAGCCCCTAAAGCCAACCCTTTCTGCCAGCGGAATGACTGGGGGCCTCCGGGCGAATCGGGCAAAGCGATACTCAAGCAGCAGTGCAGAATCGGCTGCCCTGAAGCCCAAGCCCAACAAAAGCGAGCACGGAGAGCAAAAGCAACCTGCGAGGTGATTTTCAGCGTCTCCGCGGCGACGCCTCGCCTGTACAGCCTCCCCAAGATGCAGGGACCTGAGCGGAACCTGCAGACTAGATCTGCAAAATGAATGCTTGGGCTGAGTTTTGGCAGGCAATTCTGGCAGTCTTAAGAAAGTAATTAGCTTGGATTTGAGAATGCACGGAGGTGGCACTGCATGTCTTTGGATATCCTACTCCTCCTCCTCATCCTCCTCTTCCACCGCCTCCTCATCTTCATCCTCCTGCTCGTCCTCCTCGTTAGCATCATCATCGTCCGCATCCTAATCCTCCTCCTCCTCCTCCTCGGCCTCGTCCAGTTCGTCCTCTTCGTCCTCCTCTTTCTCCTCGTCGTCGTCGTCCTCCTCCTCATCCTCCTCCTCAACATCGTCATCGTCATCATCATCATCATCATCATCAGCATCCTCATCATCCTCATCATCCTCATCATCATCCTCATCATCCTCATCCTCATCTTCATCATCATCATCACCATCATCGTCATCATCACCATCACCATCATCATCATCAACAACATCACCGCCACCATCATCACCACAAGCGCCTTCATCGTCATCATCATCATCATCATCATCATCATCGTCATCACCCTCATGATCCTCATCATATTCCTCCTCCTCCTCATCATCATCCTCATCAGCGTCCTCATCATCATCATCATCATCAACATCACGACCAGTACAATTTTCTCTGCAGTTGCCCTCTCATATCACTCGATTGGCGTAGCAAGCTGTTAAGCAGCACTGCCGGCAAACGAAGTTGGCTGTTTCCGCACTAGTACACCCCCCCACGCTTAGCAACCGATGCAGAAAAGACCTTGTTAATTCTCCAATTCACCCGTTTGAGGCCGGAGCTTTCTCTGCGAAGAGTGTGGTTTCCCCTGGCCGCGCTGGTGCGCCGGGATGTGATCCGGGACACTTTGAGGGCCTTGTCCATTGAGATTTCATCAGCAGTCAGCATTTTGCAGTTTTAAGCTTTAGTGGCTTTTCTTTAAGTGTGTAGTGGGGGATGTGCTTTCGAAGTTGGGATGCAGAGTTTGTGGTTTTGGGCGGGTTGTCCTATAAGGCTTCTGCATACCAAAGCAAACTCGTATCTCTCGGCCCGCCCCTTCGGCCCTACACACTCCAAGCTCCAACTCCCTTCATCCAAGAGACCCTCCACTTCCAAGCCTCAGCTGCAGCAGGGCGCCCTGGCATCGGCGTTCGCCCTGGTCGCCCTGCGCTGCCGATTCCGGCACGGTGCCGAAGGCACGGGATGCCACAGCAAGCTCTGATTTCACCAAAAATGTGGGACCAGAGAGGAGTGTCGGGGTTCTCAGGCCTAGGCCTCCCCCGGATGACAAAACCCGCCGCAGGCAATGACCTTTTGGTGCCCGGCTGCTCCGACTCAGATTTGGAGCCTGGCGAGCAGTGATCCGGACGGACTTTTGCTGAGTCCTACAGAGCCCTATGCTCGTAGGGCCCCAAAACCCGATGGGGCAGGCAGGATGGTCCCCCTTCCCTAGCAGCTGCCAGCGTCGACTACACTTTGTGGTCGTCTGCCGATTGCCGTTGCGCTGAGCCGCGCCTCTGGCGACAAGAATGCCTTCAAAGGAAGGCTCATCTCTGGAGACAGCCCGACAGGCTGTGCTGCGTGGCTGCGGCTGTCAGGAAAGATCTGCTTCAGCTGCCTCTCATCGTCCTTTGCACATGTCGCTACTCCCACAATATGTGTAGTTGAACCGGGAGGTCTTATTGGCCTGCACAAGATTCCAACTCTTGAGAACAGCGGCTCCCCGAAAAAGCCACGAGAAGCCGCCAGGCGATCATTCCGGAGATGGACGTGGAGAGGCCCGGGAGACCTCTCTGGGATTCGGACACAGCGAAAGGCGTTCCAGCCGGTGTGAACGGAGGTAAGCATTGTCTACGACAGCCTATGGTATAGATAGGATTTCTACTTTGGGATGTTCATTGGATCAAGCATGTTTTTCCCAAGCGAACATAGGTACGAACGCTGGATGCGGTCTGGAGTAGCAGCGGCTCTGGATTGCTTCTCTTGTGCACCACGAGTGTGCTCCTTTTTTAATCAAGCTCTAGACCTGTCCCAGGGCGCAGGCGACGAAGGAGGAAGAGAAGCCCGAGCGCCCAGGGGACTCCAGCCAAACGTGCAGGGCGAGCGTGCTAGGCTAGGACTTTATTTCGGAGCATGTTACGAGCGGTCATGGCAGCGAGACGTCTGGCCGAAGGCTTGAACTCCAGTCACAAGGCAGGAGCAGCTGCAGAGAGTGACACTTCCAAGGTCGTTGCTGCTGAGCTACCTCCAACAAGGAGGTCTGGCGCAAAGGATCCCTGGAGTGGAATGCTGTCTGCAGAGCAAAGGGAGCAGACACCTTAGCGCCTTAGCCCGAAAGGTTCCCCACTTCAGCGCTTCATGCAGCTCCGGCAGAACAACTCAGAGGTGATCTGCAGCCTGGAGCTTGATGAGATCACCGGGGATCCTTTAAAGGAGCATTTCAGCAGAGAGCTGTACGTGGAGCGACTTCTGTCTTTTGCTCTGAGCTTAAGAGCGGGCAGGGGCGGTCGATTTTCGATGAAGGGGGGAGAGCAACCGCTGTGTTTTCGGACGTATCCGTTTAGTCCAACACAGAACTGTGCTGGCTAGTGGTCCCTGTGAGCACTGGGTAGCAAGGTTTCTCCCGCAGATTTTGTGGCTCAAGCGCAGCTTCGTGCCGAGAGCCTGCAGCCATGGCGCAGGCGTCATAGTAGGATGATTCTGGTTTTCTTGACAGTTGCTTTCGCAAGGGCGAGCGCCGTTCCGATCCCCTGCGTTCCTGCGGTGAGTTGGCGTCTCCCTGTGCAGGCCACGCTCACGATCGGCTTCCTGGGAGGCGGCCAGATGCGACATGGCCGAAGTGGTCAAAGCTTTTCGCAGCGAAAGCCTCCTTTGGCACTACTCACCACCAGCAGAGTCAGTGCCGTAATCCAAACATTTCAGACGCGAGTTTTTATCGGGCCGGTCACAAGAATCGTGTTGTCCGCTGTCCGGAGCACCCTCTAGTGGCATTACCGTTCGTCCAGAGGGTGGCCGCTGTTTCGCTTCCTCGGCGGTGGATAGCAGTGAAGCGCGTCGCACAGCATCTTAGTTGATCCATGTATTTCCAGGAATCAAACAACTTCATCCTAAACCCTAAACCCTAAACCCTAAAATATTAGGTTTCCTCAGTGACACTAGCCTGTGAAAGCTTCAGGTGTGAGGCGTTGCTTGGTGGCCTCTTGGCCCAGGGCACTGCAGAGGCGGAGACTCGGAGACTCGTGGCGTGAGTGCTTCTTGAGGAATCTTAACATATGGGTGGTTGTTACAATTAGGGTCCCTTTTTTGGTACCCTACATATTAGGTGCCGGATTATTTTACGGACCCAAAAAGGGGACTATAATTTTGACGTGTTGGGTCATTGAGCAGAGCTTTTCATGACAAGGTAAGCCTTGGATCAGGAGGTGCAAGGTCACGTACAGCCGACTCAAGCGCGACCCTGGTCGAAAGTCATTATCGATACGAACTGCGATACTGCATGGTGTGAAGGCAGCAGCCTCCACACGCCTGAGCCATGAAGATGAAACTTCTCGGCATAGCTCCACGAAGGTAACGTCCTCCAGGCATCTCCAGAAGTAGTGTAGTGTACTTTTTGTCAAGAACACTAACACTGCTGCTAAGACAAGAGACTATTTGTTTTCACTGTGCCGGCCGTTTTCAGCAGCATGGCAACCGTGGAGGCGAGCAAAGCGCTCGTCAGTGAGCCCGTGGAGGCGCGACCGGTTATGCGGCATGGCGAGTAATCATGTGGGGGGGGGGGCGGGCGGGGAGGGGTTGTTTTCGACCAGCAGGGAATGTGTGGTCACTGCTCGAGCAGAGATTTTGATTCAAGCGGCTCGTTGTGAGGGTTGCCCCAGCTCCAAACTCTTGAGGCAGATTTAGGCTGTTTCAAGCTGGGTAGCATCTCACGATCGCGGTGCTATCCTCCTCTCCGTCGGTCAGGCCAGAAGAGCATACCTGGAAAGCAAGCGCGATTCTGAGTTGGGCTGTTGACGGTGGAGCTGAGAAAACTTCCTGGTGCCCCTAGCTGCCGTGTGCAGCGGAAGCCCGTTTCCGAAGCATTTCGAAACCCAAGCTGGTTAGAAACAGTTTGTAGCTCTCCCACTCGCATGTTTCAACCTGGAGCTATCGCAAAAAGTCGCGGGCCCTTGAGCTCCTGTTCCTGCGCTGCGCAACCTTGGAGACATCGCAAGAAGCTGAGGTTCGGCGTCCGCACGACGGCCTCGAATGCAGAGGTCAGTAGGGCTAGAGCGAAGTCCTCATTCCAGCAGAAAGATGTAAAGGTGACGAAGGATCCGGATGCGCAGCCTCGCAGTGCCTTCGGTGTGATCTGGGCAGGTCGTGAGCTCCATGGGCGCCGGCGGTGTTGTAGTCCTGGCCGTCAAGCCACAGGCAACCTCAAAGACCGGGGTTCGCCTCGAAAGGGAAGAGGGGAACTGTTTAACCAAACCCTTCAGCCGCGAAGACTTCCATCTCTTGAGGCCAGAGATGTAGCGGTTATGCTTCCGGTGTGGGACTCTACTTCTCCATTATGGTTCGTATTCCAACTGTTTGTGTTCTTGAGCGTTTGTCGACAGCTGGCTTCAGGTGGCATCGGCAGCGCTGAGCTCCTGTTCAGCAGAAGCCATTTTTGTGAAGTTGCCACCATCATCATCAGACTCTGGCAACAGTCAAGCTCCATCGAAACCTTCCTCCTCCTCCTCCTCCTCCCTCTCCTCCTCCTCCTCCTCATCCTCCTCATCATCATCGTCATCATCATCATCATCATCATCACCATCACCGTCATCACCATCACCCTCATCATCATCCTCATCATCATCATCATCATCATCATTATCATCATCACCGTCCTCATCATCATCGCCATCACCATCGTCATCACCATCACCATCCTCACCATTTCATCATCCTCATCATCATCATGATCATCATCATCGTCATCATCATCATCATCATCATCATCATCATCATCATGCTCATCATCATCATCATCATCATCCTCATCATCATCCACGTCATCATCCTCATCATCCTCCTCCTCCTCATCATCATCATCCTCATCATCATCCTCATCACCATCATCATCACCATCACCATCATCACCATCATCACCATCATCACCATCATCACCATCATCATAATCATCCTCAACATCCTCAACATCCTCATCATCCTCATCCTCATCCTTATCCTCCTCCTCATCATCATCACCATCATCACCATCATCACCATCACTGTCACATTATCATCACCATCATCACCATCATATCATCATCATATCCTCCTCATCATCATCACCACCACCATCATCATCATCATCATCAACGTCATCGTCATCCCCATCATCCTCATCATCATTGTCATCATCATCATCATGCTCGCAACCATCGCCCACGTTCTCATAATAACCAGGCGTGCATCAACTCCACGACCATCAGCATCGGCACCATCCGCGTCATCATAGTCACAATCATTGCTGTGTTCTCCTCGGTCGTGTCAGACCGACTGGAGCCAATGGTACTAGTATCAATCATATGTATCCGCAAGCTTGCCAGAAGAAGCGCTTTACACGCGGCAGCCGCCGGCATGCAAGGCGAGAAGGGAACTGGGCGACCCGCCGGTCAGCCGATCCCGTACCGGACACCTCAACTGAGCCAACACATCGAAAGCGATCGAGGGGGGGACCACGGAACCAGATCAAGACGCTCCAGGCGGACTTAAGCGGCAGTGGCAGCAGCAGTAGCAGCAGCGACGAGTACCAGGAGCAGCGGCAGTGGCATTGAACACCACCGCTGTTATGGTGGAGGTTCGCCCATGCCCCGATAGCATCATGAAGTGAGCTATCAATGGAGCTGCCCAGCAACAAAGCCCTCCATCGTAATTGTAGCCCGTTCTACTCCTAAGGCGGCCTGAACCTTGGTAGCGACTCGCCGCTCTTCGTCTCGATCATGGCAGGGGCTCCTCGGCGAGACTTTGCAAAGCTACTGCTCCTGCTGCTTGCACGACGACAGCTGCGCGAAGGTCGTCAAGGTAGTCATGATAAGTGGAGGAAAGCACCTGAAGCCCGGCACAGACTAAATCGCTACATGAAACATATCAGATGAGCGCCATGGCCTGTTATCATCTCCGTACAAGCGACACAGATGCCTGGGTACGACCCGATTGTGGACCTTCACTTGGTGACATAGCGATGTCGTCATCACGAAAAGGCGGCACGTACTGATGATTGCAAATGTACAGCATCCCAGCAACTTCCAGTGAATCGACACCTTCAAGAGAAGTGCGAGTCTCTGTGTCCCCTTTTCTCAAGCCTTGCCCTCCAGGGTCTTGCGGTGGTTGGAGGATACATTACATTGGCTTGTCAACGTGATGCTTTTGACGATGAGGTGACCCTCCAGAAACTGGCAGACATGGGCCTCAGACGAGTTGTCTGGGACTCGAGGGCTCTCACAGTAAGTAAGCGCAATGCTGGAAATGTGCCGGCTTTCGCCCACTTTTGCACTTGTGCTCCGGGATTGGCATGGCGACATTACGACGACGTAGATCTTCCGGGATGCAGGTTGCAAGCTGCCGCTTGCCACGTTCCCTCTTGTGACGTTCCTGAGGTTCAGGTCGCCCTACCGAATGAACCTAACAAGTGCAGGCTCCTGGTTCACGGCAAGAGTAGTGTAGTACTGTACAGCGAGCTACCAATCTCCCCGTGTGCCTTCTGTTTAGCAGCCAGATTTACTTAGAAGTACTTGAGGCCCGGACGATGCCGAACACCCCTGCGCTGGTCGGCCTCGGCGCATCGGCCTACGTGCCATGGTCTCTCCACACTTCGCTCTAGCCTCACGACTGTTCTGCTGAGATCTTCCATCTCCTTGAGAAAGCCTTGAGACTGCCTGCTGGTGTCACCTTCAAGCTCCGCCGCTACCCTTCGAGTCGCTACGCTTGGCAGGTGCTTGGGCCCGATGCTTTGCCGACGGATGGCGCCATCGTCGAGAGAGCCCCGGCCTTGGTTGGGCCTTTGAAGAAGTCTCCGGCTCGAGATGAGCAGGCCTCTGGGAAGACAGACAGAGCACCCGGTAGACAGAGGCGTGCTGCAGCTGGCTAGTTCTCTTGCTGGAAGGGATGCTTTTGTTCTGTTCGAGGTGATGTCAGCAGTCGGCGTGTGTGAGAAGCTGGGCGACGAGAAGCTTCTGGACCAGAGCCACCAGTGATGCTTGCTACTTGTCAACTCTTGGTGGTGCCTACATTTCATGGTACATGTTTCCATGGCACCAAGCTCTTGTAAACCCTACAAGCCTCTATAGAAGCCCTACAGTGTAAAGACCCCTCCAGCCCTAAACCCCAAACCCCAAAAGCTCTAAATCCGACTATTGCGCAGCGCGTTCT